CCCCCCATCCACACCCCCATCCCCCCACACCCCCACTTGCACCCCCCCACAGCCCCCCCTCTGAAGCAAGTGGAGCTGGCTACTGCTGGGGACAGGCCACAGGACCAGGTCCCCCGCACAGGGCCAAGCGCTTCTCGGCATCACCAACGCCCATTCAAAGCAAGCGAGCCTGGATTTCCCTTGCAACAGTTCATTAAGGCCAAGCACTTGCTAGGCTGTCATTTTCATAGTCAAAACACCGTGCTGACCCAGGTCCCGCCCCAGCAACAAGTTCCAGCCCACCTGATCCTCAGGGGCCCCTGAGGGCCCTGCTACCCTTTCAGATGAAAGCCGATAGAAACCTGCTGTTGAGTTGTAACACACCATCAAGCACTCACTTTAGGGCTGGTCAGCTCTCTTTATAGCTGCAGAGTCCTCTTTATTATGTGATCATTACACTGTACGTGTGGTCTGCCTTACTTTGCAGCCCTGAATTTATTGCATGATCCCCCAGTGAGTTGCGTAATATGTGTAATGTATAGCAGGGGCCTCAGACCCACACTCCCCTAGCTTATAGGGGAGTGCAGAAGTCTGCCCACATAGGCTAATGGGCATTAAAGCACACGTGCCCTATTTTAAAGCATCATTTAAAAACCGCGGGCATTTACACACGTACTTTTTTGTGCTGCTGGCACGTCGGACCAGACTCGATTAATTGAGTCTGCCCTGCGGGTGAGCTGATGTGTACCATGCTGTGATGCTTCCAGTTGTACAAGTGGCAAAATGCGCGTCGGTGTGGAGAAAATGGCAGCAGCGTGCTTTTGAACTAAAACACCTCTAATACGTTTTAGTTCAAAAGCGCGCTGCTGCCATTTTCTGGGCACTGACACACATTTTACTGCTGATACAACCGCAAGCGCCGCAGCACCGGGGGCTTTTCAAAGTGCCCAGTGCTGTGGTACATCCCTGCATAAAAATACCCCATGTGCTTTTGCTAATGTGTATTAAAATAGGTTAATGTGCATTAATCATCATTCAAAAACGCACACACATCTTTACTTAACGTGTGTGAAGGTACACAAATGTGCATTTTCCAAAGGCGGTACTAAATTTAATGCGCATTAAATAAAAGACGTGTAGATGCACCAATAGACACCAGTTTCTTGCTTGCTTCCCAGCACCTGTCCTTTTACCTCCTGCCCTGGACATTCAACCCACTGCAAGGGCCCAGGGGGTGCAAGGAGGGGCAGGACCAGGGTCCTTCATGACAGGGGGCAGAGTCTGGGGTGCACCAGGGGCTTGTCCACACCGAGGAAGGGAGAGTCCAGGGCAGAGGAGGATCAGGGCAGAAACAGGGAGCAGCTGCGAATGCCTCTCCCCTATAGACGAAACCCCAGGCAGGGATGTCCCCGGGCGGGTGCATAGAGCCATGAACCTGGGAGCAACAGCACTATGCAGAGCGCCCGGATAGCTCAGTCGGTAGAGCATCAGACTTTTAATCTGAGGGTCCAGGGTTCAAGTCCCTGTTCGGGCGGGTTACTTTTTCCCGGCGCAATTGAAAGCAGCAGCTTTTTTTTTCTTTCTGCACCCGTCTTTTATATGAGTGCAGGGCCAGGGGGCGCGGGGGCCAGGCGGGGTGCGCTGCAAGGCGAAAGGAGGGGAGAAGACGAAAGGAAAAAATGCAAAAAAAAAATTGTATATAGAGAGAGAGGAAAAATAATGATAGAAAAGAGGAAAATTGTTATGATACAAAGGGAAAAAAAGAGAAAAAGCACGAGCCGCCCGAACAGGGACTTGAACCCTGGACCCTCAGATTAAAAGTCTGATGCTCTACCGACTGAGCTATCCGGGCTCTATACCACACACCGCCCGCCGGGGCCCTAGGCAGTCCGCTGCGCGCCGCCCTTCTGCACAGTCCTCCATGCAGTGAGGCGCTCTCTCCCTGCCTTCTCGATGCTCCGCTGTCCCTTTGCGGGCGCCGTCTCGATGCTCCGCCTCCTCCACCCTGCTTTCCGACGAGTCCTTTCTAGACCTGCCTTCCGGTCTCTTCTATGATCCGGGCGCCTGCGGGAGGACTCCCCGCCGGAAGTGGCCGGCGGCCATGTTGGCCGCGGGGGAAGCGGTGGCCCGGAGCCCCCTAAGATGGAGGAGCGGCGCCCGCCGGGGGTCCGCGGGCCGAGCTGGGGCCATACAGCGGCGCTAGGGTGAGCGGGGACGGCCCGTGTCCCCCCGCACG